TTCACTGCAAGTGGGATGCAAGCAAACACGCTGAAATTCCAAGTTATTATTCTTGGTTTACGCGCAAAAAGTAACCAACGTTACTTTAGAAAACCTTGAAAACCATGTTAGAACTCCGTGAAACTTCTTAAAGTGGATATTGATTCTCAATTAAATTCAGCAGCCACATTTCTAAGATCGGACAAAAAGCAAAAAGACAATTAAACATGTTACATTGTTTCAAAACACTATTTGTCAAATGATTTTAAGCTACTTATCTACAAATTTTACTATTTGTCAAATGATTTTAAGCTACTTATCTACAAATTTCCTTATCTATCTGGCATTTCTGCAGCAAACATAACTAAGACAAAATGGAAGAAATACAATACAGAGCACCAAATTGGTATTTGATGAGTTTTCCAGCTCATGTGTGTGTGTGTGTGTGTGTGTGTGTGATTTGGATTTTTAACATAGCTTTAACAACTTTTCAGTTATGTCTCTACGATGTCTGCAGTGCAACAGTTTATAGTAATGTCTAGCACTGGGGCATTATGCCGCAGACATTGGGTATCATGTCCCACCCAGTCATATTATCCTGACGCCAGGCCGACCAGTCCTAACACTAACCTCTTAATGCTGAGTGCCAAGCGAGGCAGCTGTTAGTACCATTTTTGTAAGTTTTTGGTATGACTCGGCCGGGGATTATCTGCTACGAAATGCAGACCTTTACACTCTTTATATTAGTAGATTAAGACAAATGGCAACTGAAGTATAAAAACACTTCACAAAACCACTACACTATTACTTGATCAATGATAGTAATCTGGTCACTTTCAAAAATCTGCAAATACAATCTAACAAACCAAAAACTGGCAACAATACCAAGAGTAATGACCGCTAGGTATGGTAATCTCTTTTTCAAAATTGCTGCTCTCTTGGTCTGGAACATCCAGTCCAAGGAACTGAGAACAATTTCTGACTATAAAGAATTAAACTGGTTGATTCCGACAGGAATCAGGCTGCGCTGTACATGTGCGTTATGTGTAAAGGTCACTTCAGCTATAGGGTTGACTTCTTCAATGAGATAATCTGACTTCAATCCTAAGGGCCATTTTAAGAAACCTCCTATTTTAACTTTTAGCATTTCTCCTGATTTCACGTATCTTTAACAATTAACATCTTTGGATGCAGGCCCGGCCTTAGGGCAAAACGAGCGAGGCAACATTTTCTTTTTTTTACTTGAAGCCCCGCGCTTATCGCTTGCTGATTTGGGCCCCGAACATCCTAGGGCCATGCCTGTTTGGATGATTACCATATGATATTGCTTTTCAGTCAGCTGTAATCACTGACATTGTGAGTGCTTTTACACAAAAATATAGTAATATTCCATATTTTTATATTACTTACGTGCATCGATTTAACAATTTGTTCACCTTCGCTGCTTTTAGATTATAATTGGAAGGTCACTGAAGACCTTCACAGCAGTGATCACTTTCCAATATCCCTTGAAAATATTCACCCACAAATTGATGACACAGTTCCGCAATGGAATTTAAAGAAGGCCAATTGGGCCAAATTTGAAAGACTCTCTATAACTATGCTAAACAGGAATACAGTCCTAAACGACAATAATCCTATCCGACAATTTACATCCATCTTACTTGAAATTGCAGAAGAATCCATTCCTAAGTCCTCTCCAAATTGCAAAAAGAATACAAAAACCCTGGTTCACTAAAGAATGTAAAGAAGCAATTAGGCAACGCCGAGAGGCATTAAAAAAATTTAATAATCGTCCAACACCCGAAAACTTAACACAATATCGTATTATTCGGGCCAAAGCTCGCCGCACCATTAAAGAAAGTAAACGAGCATCATGGAAAAAATTTGTTTCATCTTTAAACTCTCGTTCCTCTATAAAGGTAATTTGGGACACGATCCGCAAAATAAATGGAAAGGGAAAATACAATTCCTTCCAACATCTGAAGGTTAAAAACAACAAGTTTAATACCAAATATGAAATAGCTAATGTGCTTGCTGACTGTTTCTCCAAAAATTCCTCATCGTCTAACTATTCAGAAGCTTTCCAAAGATTAACAACCTCAAAGGAAAAAAAAAATTGAAATTTACATCGAACAACTCGGAAAGTTACAACCAACCGTTTTCATTATCGGAGCTTATGGAATCTTTGAATAAGGCTCATGATATATCCGCTGGGCCTGACGATATACATTACCAGTTTTTAAAACACCTCACAGAGTCATCTCTAACAGTCCTTCTAGAAATCTTTAATGATCTTTGGATTACTGGTAATGTACCCAAAATATGGAAAGAAGCAACAGTAATACCAATCCCCAAACCAGGCAAAGATAACCCAGATCCTAGTAACTATAGACCAATATCTTTAACTAGCTGCGTGTGCAAAACAATGGAACGAATGATCAACTCTCGGCTAGTGTGGTATTTGGAAAGCAACAACTTAATATCTCCTTTCCAATGTGGATTTTGTTGTGGACGTAGTGCCAATGATCATCTTGTTAGACTTGAAACATTTATTCGCGACGCTTTTATCAAGAAAGAACATTTAGTAGCGGTTTTCTTTGATTTGGAAAAGGCGTATGATACAACATGGAAGTACGGAATACTAAATGACCTGCACGATCTGGGTCTAAAAGGCCGACTGCCCTTATTTATATCAAACTTTCTCAAATTCAAGGTACGAGTGGACTCCACCCTCTCTGATCTACACGATCAAGAGATGGGTGTGCCCCAGGGCAGTATTTTATCGGTAACGCTTTTCAATATAAAAATTAATAGCATCACCAATTGTCTGAGTCCTGGCGTGGATTGCTCCCTATATGTCGATGACTTTTTAATATGTTACCGATATAAACAAATGCATACAATCGAAAGGCAATTACAACAAAATATCAACAAGATCCAAAATTGGGCCAATACTAACGGTTTCAAATTCTCGAAAACGAAAACTGTATGCATGCATTTCTATCAATTACGAAGACAGCATGATGAACCAAGTCTTACGCTGGACGGAACACCTATTCCAGTTGTTGAGGAAGTAAAATTCTTAGGTATCATCTTCGATAGAAAACTGACCGTTATCCCACACCTAAAGAATTTAAAAGCTAAATGCCTCAAATCTCTGGATTTACTTAAAGTAATAGCACACACTGACTGGGGTGCTGATAGAAAAGTCATAATCGTCATATACAGAACATTCATTCGCTCGAAACTAGACTATGGTAGCATCGTCTATGGTTCAGCAAGGAAGTCCTATTTGAAGATGCTTGACCCAATCCATCATCAGGGAATAAGACTTGCCCTGGGAGCATATAAGACATCTCCGTGTGAAAGCCTCCTCGTTGAAGCGAACGAACCACCTTTAGCACAACGAAGAGAAATGCTTTCCGCTCAATACGCTCTCAAATTAAAATCAAACCCTCTGAACTCTGCTTTTTCGGCTGTTTTTGAACCCAAATATAAAACTTTATATGACAATAAACCAAATGTCATACCTACCTTTGGCATTAGAATGGTACCATTCCTTGATAGTACAAAAGTTGATATTTCGAAAATTCTGAACACGACCATTTCCGAAACACCTCCATGGCTACTTAAGCAACCAAGGGTACTTTTCACGCTACACGATGGAAAAAAATCGGAAACAAACCCGTCCATCTTCCTCAACTCTTACCATGAACTCCTCTCTCAGTTCAAAAATTATACAAGAATATATACTGATGGATCAAAAGATGAGGAAAAGGCCGCTGCAGCCTTCATTAGTGAAAAATACATAAAAACTGTTCGCTTGCCAAATGGTACGTCAATTTTTTCAGCTGAAATCAGAGCAATAGACCTTGCTTTGCAATACATTGCAAGCGAGCGTATTTTAAACAGCATTATCTTCTCCGATTCACTATCAGTACTTCAGTCGCTACATAACAGAAAGATGGAGAATCTATTATTAGCAAATATTCTCCTTAAGCATACTGAGCTGAGTACCTCCCACAATATAGTATACTGTTGGTTACCCAGCCATGTAGGAATTAAAGGTAATGATAAAGCAGACCGTGCTGCTAAAACGGCCTTATTACTAGAACCAACTGACTTTTAAGCACCATATACTGATTTTAAACGTTGTATCAAAGACTGTTTACACCAGAAATGGCAGGCATCATGGAATGATTCCGTGAATAACAAACTTCATGCCATCAAGCCAACCTTAGGAGAATGGACCCCTTCCTACAGATCCGTCCGTAGAGAGTAGGTAGTCATTGCAAGAATTCGACTCGGTCATACTCATTTAACACACTCCTACATATTAAAAGGAGAAGACCCACCAGAGTGCATAGCTTGTAATGAACCATTCACCGTTAAGCACTTGATGCTGGAATGCTTCGATCTTCAACCTACGCGTAATCATTTCTACGTTGTGCAAGATATGAGGGAGCTCTTTGATACAGTTAACATTACCAACATTATAGACTTCCTTAAGGAAGCAAATATCTATCATAAGTTATAGCTTTTATTTTATCACCTTGTTCAGTTTTGTGTTATATTTATGCAGTCGATAGATTTTAATTGCCAATCATGTGTTTTCGCTATCATACTTTTGCCCACCCCGTTGATCGGGAAACTTTTAATACTTTACCATCGTTCACATTTTTATCGCTTTACCTTTAACTGTTTGGACCCCAATCGCTGGTCGATAAAATTATTTTACCAATTTTAAATGTAAAAGGATATAACCTAATGTTTGGCGCTAAATAGCCACATAGTGCTGGTGCGCCGTAAAAATATAAACCAATCAATCAATCAACCATATTTATATTACTAAACGTACTCTTCTATGTGAAATGTTACGTATGCTCATCTAGAAAAAAATAAAATAATAGAAAAATTGTGCATCTGTATGTTGTCGACTACTGTGCAATTAAATTTGATCTTGTAATTTTATTTACTGTTAAATTGTCTTTAATTTACTGTTGTATTGTCTTCTAATCTGCTGTGTGGCCAAGTAGATAGAGCGTCAGCCTCGGATGCAGGAGGTGGCGGGTTCGAATCCCGTCTTAGATAAACTACCACACTGCAGACATCGTAGCTATAAAACTGAAAAAAAAATTTAAAGCTACGTTAAAAATCTAAATTACACACACACACACACTTAATCTTCTGTGTTGTGCTACGCTGTAAATATGTACTATGTGTTTACCCGTCTTGTAAATTATGAAATACTACTCATATGCCGATAAAATAGCTTATGCTGATAGTTGTTTACTCAGACCACCGACGTTATATAAATTTATTGCATTGTGTTTCTTTCTTGAACCAAAACGATAAATATCAGGGTAGACGTCTTACATTGCACGACTAAGTGAACGCAAGTTCTGTCGTTCAATGATTGTTTGCATGTTTCTTTCATTCCATCTGAGTATATTTATTCCATCTTTCTGTTGTTCCATCCGCTTTTTGATAAGTGACGATACTCTATTCCGTCTTTTAGTAACAAGTTATACCCAGGTCAGTTTTTGATATTTTAAGACATACAAAATTGTACGTAACATGAGTGCCATTTTGCGGGAATTGGGTTAATGACAGTGTGAGAAACAACAAACAGAAATAGCTTATACTTAGTGCTACAAAGTTAGCTAATCGATATAGTGTCTCACATGAAGACATTTGTTAACATAACGTTAACTGAATTTGTAATTAAATCTGAAATAATCATATAGTTCAGAAGAGTTATGTTTCAATTTGTAATCCTGATTACCATCCTCTGTAACATTCGAAGTTGACAAATAGAAAAAGAAACCTAACGTATGGAAGAACAGAAAGGTACAACGGAGCACGACCTGCCAGTACCTAGAAGTCAAGTTGCAATCGAAATTTATTTTCGTATACTGCAAAACCAAAGAGCTTTCAAACCATTGCATTGCTTGTAACCATAGCTTTGTTATGTTGACATTCTCGATGTCATGCTCTGTTGTTTGTTATGATAATCACGAATCTTATAAGTCATAAAAATGTATTTGTCATTCAAGAATAAAATATCATCACTACCATACAAATGTATTATGTAAATAACAAGTAGTCTTTCCAATATGTTTTCCAAGGCATTTTTAGCATCTTCCTTAACTCTGTCATCGAATGACGCAAAAATTTATCCAGTACAATCGTGACAACAGGCCCCAACAAAATTCTTAATAGATAGCATCTTTTAAAGTGCTTTTATTTTCAGCGCGATTACCAATGAATATTTTCCCTTGTATTTCAGTATATATTTTAATGCAACCTGAACCTGCAAGCAGTGCTGATTTCATAAATCACCATACACCGATGAATTAATGGTTTTCTCTTCAAACTACTTTCTATGTTTATTGATGTGGTTTCATTCTGTAATATCGTAAGTCATTTTTGTAGTTCTAATCCTTTTGTCAACATAATTTAGTTGCTATTTATATTCATGCTTACATCAGTTAAGTCATTCTTCATCCGCATCTAAAAGGATGTTATTGAATGGATTTTTCTTTGCAAGTCTGTAACACTCATGCACAAATCCATGATAATACTTTTTGTAACATCGTGAGGTTGTTTTTTATCCATCTCATCATTCAAATTTCCGTTTGATTATACCAGTTGAAATTGCAAAATGCTAGAGTCTTCCAGAAATGTCTACAATTTCTCCATCAAACTCTCTAATGCATCTGTCTCTGGGTTTATCCTTAAGTCAGTGATTGCAGATGTTTGGTATTTCATCTGCTTCTTCTCTTACAGTATGCAAGATTTGCACAGCATATAAGGTATTTTTAATGGTCTTGAGCATATATACTCTTTTTCCTGTCGTCACCAATATATTTTCTTTGCTCTTTAACTGCCGTTTTCTTCAATAGATAATGTTTGGTTGTTCACCTATTCTCTCCATAATATCAAATCTTTTAAATTATTATCATCAAACGTCTTACGTATTATTGTATCAACGCTTTTTTGGTGCAAGATGTTTAGAAGCTCCATCATGGTTTGACTGCAGTTTTAATATGGTGGTTATTCAAATAAAATGGTTGCTTATTGATCAATCTAGAACTTTCTTTTGTCTTCTCTATGGATATAAAACGAAATCACAAATTACCTCTTCCTGTTTTTCCAATATAAAATATATGTTACATGTAATCTATTACAGTTTGATCTTCATAGTTCATGCCAGTGTTCAACCTGTTTATTGAACTTCTATGTAGTTTCCTGTAATGATTATTAACATTATATGAAATAAAATCATTATGGAAAACATTTCAACCTTTGTTTCATTCTTGTCGTTGATGTCATAGGACGTGTTGCTTCATTGGAAACATTTCAATAACCAATAACAAAAATGTATTCTTTGCAACGAAATAGCAAGATTGCCATTTATGTTCTCAGTTAAACTGGTTTCTGTATCAAGTAAACATTGTGTCGTCATATAGGTTGCCATGTGTCTAATTTAAAGGAGCCTATTCGTATTCCATTTGCTTCCGAATTTGTTTTTATAACAGACCCCTAATTATAATAGCTCCTACTTTAATTTATTGCCCTACTCTCAAAGGTCTCTTTAATTCTTCAGTGTTTTGACTTTACTTCACCCCTTCCCTCTTCCTTCCTTCCTCACCTTCTCTAATTTGTGTCCTTTTTACCATCACTGTGTATGTTATGCTCTTTAATTATTAAATTAAAATCCTTATGACTAATCTATGCATGGCTCATAGCTTTCATAACATGATCTATCCATAATGTTGTGCTTGCTAATGGCGGAGGTCACTATTTCACCATGTTTAAAAACTTTGTTGTTTATGAACCTTTTCTCGTAAGCTTTGGCAAAACAAAAAAAAGCATTCAGATTACACAAAACCCGCTGAAAGCCAGAGGTAAACCCCGTAGCTATTCCTCCTGTAACTCTTAAATCAACATTTGCATCATTCTTCAAACCTCGACATTTTGAAAACCTTCCATGTTGCTTTCATTTCTTTATGATACTTTTTTTCGGTTTCTTTAATTAGATCATTATTATTATCTTTGAAATATGAAACTAAAATATTTATGTCAATTTTACGGTTTGAGTTCATTAATTAATTACTTAAGTAGTCAATTGTAAATTAGTTCTATGAAATCTTGGATAATCACTTGTATGATTTCATCCAATTACATGTTCTGAAATACATTTTAGAAAACTATAATGCTTGAATTGTTTGTAAATAGCGTGTTTAATCTTATTTGTCTCACTAGCCATTTATTACAGTTAAATTTCAAACATACTTCTGGAAATGAAGTTGCCTATTATTTTGGCATAATAATTAATTTAATTGTTTATAATGTTTCATTATGTATTGCAGATCCGACAATCCAATCGTCTACGCCGTTTGTATTCATAAGATCTAGACCTAAGATAACAATGCAAGTACCAACACAGCAACACTCTCTGAGCGAGGCGAATTTGTTTGTTTCATCTCGTGACGGCTGCGTCTTCCTCCTGTTTTTCAATCATTAAAATTCATTTGAACACTACCCATGTTTACACCAAGGTGAACTCTAGGTGTATCCTTTATCTTTTACATCAACTCATTTTTATCTTATGTTAAAAGTTTTAGTATTAAAACTTTTAGTAGTGGAAGATTCTTGTGAAATAAACAATAATACATATTATGAAATCTAATATAAATTCAAAATGTAAATGTAGAAATGCATTACAAATTTAAAAAGGCAAAGACTACTCCAAACTCTGTACGAAGGAATAAACGAAGATATGGAGAAACCAAATTAAGGACTACTTTCAAATCTGGCTTGACAAAGCAGCAATGAATATTCCAGAAAGTACACTGAAAAAAGATATAAAATCAAATTCGGTATAAAAATATAATATGTCTGATATATTATCTCTACCATATATGGCACAAAATATTAAAGTCAGTAGGTGTGTATTATATATATATATATATATATATATATATATATATATATATATATATATATATATATATATATATATATATTGAAAGCTACTATAAAAGAAATGCCAAACATAACTCGTAAAGATCAATGCAGGTATGCAATAAACCAACTCGTAAATTTAAAAATTGCATATTTAATCACTGATTAAAGTTCACGTGTCTTACTCTACTTTCTTGTCTCTTTATTTATTTTCAGTGCTATGCATATTTAATTTAATTATTTGTGTGTTAGTTGTACATTTTCTTTATTTCATTACATGCTACTGTATTGCAATAAAGTTTGCTGGACTTCACCTTGTCCAAACATGTTTTCATTTCTGCTTAACTTGAATAGCGTTTATATTTCATTTGAGGTAAACAACTAATAATAACTTCACTATTCTCTGTGTATGAACTTAATATCAGGAATTTTTTTCAAGTCAACATGAAGAAGCACATATTTTGATTTGGTTAGGGTTTTGAGTTTCCTAAGTGAATTTTACAGGTCATTCTGTTGTAAATAAACAAGGCTCATTATTTAAATCATTCTAAAAGGTAATTTCTATTAAGGATTTTTTATATATAGAAAATGTGACGCGAGGTTAAGTAGAGAACAATATAATTTTGTGCTTGTGAGGATTTGGTCATTCGTACTTTAATATCTAGCACCTTCAAGTATAGTATATTGTTAGCATTTTGCGCTGAATTTTATTTTCTTGAAATTACTGAATTCAAGTGATTATTTTCTCTGGAAATACATTTACACATGATTGATTTCAAAGACGTAAATGGATCAAGCCGAAAGCAATTTAAGCTCGACATAAGGGAAAACGTAGAAGATGTTTCGATTTTTATTGTACTTTGTCCTTATAATCGAAACATTCTGTTTTGTCCATCCAGTCGAGAAAGAGAACTCTGATTTAATTCACGGCAATGTAAAACTATATTTGGAAATACTTCTGTTCATATTTCATAATAATGCGGCGAAGGAGGAAAATGTTAGAAACGAAACATTTTGGCCGTTTCATTTGCAACACATATGACACACTAAGCCTGACGCGAATAACCGACGTCATCAAATTCCTCATCTGGAACATCATCGGCCTTTTTCGTCCAGTCCCGA